GGCCCCCGCAGCGGGGGCTGTGGGCGCAGAGCTTCCACTAATAAAGCTATTTAAAGCCGTGGTGTCACAGTGCTTCCTGGGAAGGGCTGGGAGCGCTGGCCGCCATACTGGGACGAGTCCAGCCAGAGACAGGTCCTGCCCCAGCCATGAGTCCTGATCAATCAGCTCCCTCCAGCCTCCTGCTCGTGCTGGGACCAGTGGCAAAGCCTGGCTCATTTTTTATCCGCTCTCTGCTTTTCTCCATGGTTGTAGAGCCAGGAGATGAGCGTGGATGAGGGTGAGCGCACTCCTGCCCTGCTCTGCAGCCCCCAGGCTGGGTGGGTGCTCACCTCCCGTCATTCACGGCCACCGTCACTTGGAGATGCCAGTTTGTGTCCCACCACCACCTGACCTGGAATATTTGCAATGAACTTCAGCCCATGGTCCCCTCCACTCACCCCTCATGCAGGGCTAGCTGCCCTGACACCATGGTGATAGGCTGTGAGTTTCTTGAAGGTGTCCTCTTGACTGTTCGCTCAGTCTTCAGCCACAGTCGCTGCAGTCCCTGCCGTGGGGCCTGGCACAGAGAAGCCCCTTGTGGCGCTGGCATTGTTGGTATGGTGGCATGCGAAGCATTCGCTTGGCCTGCGGTAGGCCACGTGCAGCCTCACCTGGCCGGCATGGTGCCAGACATGTCTTGGTAACCTGATAAGTCTTTGCCCCTCGTGGGCAAACACAGGGTGAGGAGCAGCCTGCCTGGCTGCCCAGCTGGGCAGGATGCCACCCCTCTGCTCTAGACACTCCGGGGGTCTCCAAGGGGGTCCCTCCCATGCTGCAGGGAGCCCACGAGAACTGGTTTCTCCAGCCTTCCCCAGCATGGGGGTTTAGGTAACTGTGCTTGGCTGGCAACGCCACATTGAGCAGTGCAGCCCCCAGGGGATGTCAGCAGAGCCAGAGCCTTGGCAGAGAGGGTCATGATCCTGTGCCCGCCCTCTGCACTGTAGCAATGCAGGGCACGGGGTCTTTGCCCAGCCACCCCTCTGCAAAAGGGCTACCGGGGCTGTCAGCCAAGAGGGGCAATGCCCTGCGCGCTGTGTGCTGCCAGGCAGAGCGGGTGTGCAGCTCGCAGTGCTGGGCATGCTGCAAGGCAAGGGGAGCTGCATTGGGGTGCTGGTGATGTCCACCAGTGGGTCCCTCCTTGCCCACCACCAGGCAGCCAGTGGGGAAGGGCAGGGGAAGCAGGGTGCTGGTGAACCAGTAACTTGGCCCAGAGAGCACTGGGGCGGGAGCCTCTAAATCTGTCAGCTGCAGCTTTGCAGCTGGAAATTCCCTCCTGGCTTGCCCACAGCAGTGCTGGGAGAGGGGAGGCACACAGGGCTCCCGGGAACTCCCGGCCTCATGCCCATCTGTGGGAACACATGGATGGGTGTGAGCAGGGCTGGGTGGGTGCAAGTGGAAGTACCTGTGCATGTAAGCAGCTCGATGTGCATGTGTGTGCGTGCACAGGTAACATGTCTACGTGCGTTCATGACTGTATGTATGCATGTGAGCTTGTGTGCACATCCATCACCATGTATGTGAGCCCCTCCTGGGTGTGCAAACAAGTTGGCCCCCATGTCTTCATGCACGTCAAAGAATACACGGCAAATTGTCAGTGTGTGTGTGTGTGTGTGTGTGTGTGTGTGTGTGTGCCGGTGACACCGTCCCCGTGTGTGACTGTGTGAGAGCGTGCTTGTTTGCACGTGTCTGACTGGTTTTGTGCAGGTGTGCCTGGGACAGGGAGGACACGCGCGGCTGCAGGAGGGCCCTGCAGGAAGGGAGCTGCGGAGATGCAGGGTCTGTGAGCTGAGAGATGTGGGGACCCATTTCGTAGGCTGAGCAGGTGCCTTTGAATGAGAAGCATTGGAGCACACCTCAGGCCCTGGGCTTGAGACATCAGGGGATCTCAGTTCAGGCAGGTCCTGTGAAACTCTGAGTCGCCTCTGCTCTTCCCTGGAGCCATGAGTGGCTGAGGCCAGTCATACTGGAGGGTTCTGAATCTCTCTGTGAGATGTCAGAGTCCTGGGTCTGACCTACAGCAAGCTCATTCTCGGGAGTCTGCCTCAGTTTCCTCACAATGGGTTGTTTTCATGCTCCTGACTGCATGGACATGGCTCTGAAGATCTGGATCACGGATAAGCACTGGAAGAGACAGGTAGTTCTTTTAAGTAAGGGATCCAACCTGTGTACTCTCTCTTATTTCCCCAAATCACAGCTTCTGAAGGCTGGAGACCACGAAAGCCAAAAACGTGGAGGGGGAACAAGATAGTAAATGGAGCTGTCACAGGGGCAAGGGGTTCTTAATTGGATATAGACACATGGCAGCTGATTATGAGGTGGCACCTCTGCACCCCCAGGATATCTGCAAGTGCCTTGCCCAGTTGAGGAGAAGGGTTACCTCTTGTGAGGGCTGCCAACTCCCTGCCACTGCTCCCTGCTGAGCCTGAGCTGGCAGAGCCAAATCCATTCTCTTGGCAGCCAGGAGAGGCCCTGGCACAGGCAGGTGGTGCTGCTAGCCAGGCAGGGTCTGAACCTGGCCCAGTGGTCTGGAGAGGGCTGAACAGCCAGCAGAGCCCCCTTAACAATCCCCCATCTCCCCAGACCCCTAGCAGTCCCCCCAGCTCCTCACATCTCCAGGAGCTCCCTATGAGCTCCCGTCCACTAGGACTCCATCCCAGCCTCATAGAAGCACCCCAGGAGTCCCCAGGAGCCCCTCACACCCCCAGCAGTCCCCTAGGTCCCCAGGGGGGAGCCCCTCAGATTCCTAGAAGTCCCCCAGCTCTCCAGACCCCTAGGAACCCACTGAACGCCCCCGAGAG